CAGTCCAAAAGCAACGACAGTTCCGCATTTCGCAACCACGACCCACCTACGAATTCCCAGACTCCCTTGAAGCCTTGCAAATATAGCAAAGGGCAATTTTTTTTGATCCTTATTTAATGTTTTTTTGATCTTCGGGTTCTAAATTTTTTTGATCCTTATCAATTTTTTTTGATCCCTCACCTGCAGACATGGATAGTATGCATGCCTGTAGCTTTAGGATTTGTTGTTCCTGGCAGCAGACAGTGCAGTGAAGAGCGGGCTTTGTCTTGTTAGGCACGAGGACTTCTCGGACATGCCTCGAGAGTGCCGTGAGGTTGATCGAGAGCTGAAGGCACTTGCCCGCACTTGTCTGCTGCATGACACAGAGTCTCCACAAGGGGGTCAAATGTCGTTTGCCGTTGTGAGAAATGTGCTGGAAATTGTCCCCAAGTTTGTTTGGAACATGAGATGAAGTTGTGGTGAGCTTTGCTTCTGCCCAAGGACAAACCACGGTCTTGCTTTGGCTGTGAATTTGTGAATATCTCTGGCCGAGGTACGCCGGCAGATTCGTGAGATCTATTGCAAAACTGCGCAAGATTTTCCATCTGGTGATGATTGGGACGAGTTTCCTGCCTCAGAATGGCACGGTCAAGTGATGCAGTCATGCAAGCCGAACAATTTAGCCCGTCTACGTTTGTCCCTGTGTGGGACCTGCTCTGCATCACACATGTGCCAGTTGGCTGTTGGATTCAGGAGTTAGTTCGGGCTAGGCATGGGATATCCCGAACACTGAGGGCCAGCACAGGGCGAAGTGGGCAGGGTTGATAGGATGTATGAAGGGTTCAGAGTTTCATGCCTATGGAGCTGTCGCTTGAGGATCACATGATGTTAGGTATGGCTAAACCAAGACCGGGCCACATGAGCCGTGGAATGCCGTTAACCCGATCCCAAGTCCCAAGTGTCAAGCACATGTCGGGGGCTGGAACGCAGCCTTCAAGCTCTGTAGCCCCAAGGTATCTGCTCCTCCGGGAGGATATCATCTACAGGCTCGTGAATGGATCCAAAGAAGAGGCCGAACATTCCCGGAAAAAAAAACAGCAGATCGTCAACACGTGATGGCCGAAAGCCTTGCGAGGTCCAAGACACGTGGCATGAAATAGAGCGCTACAAGGCCATACCGCTCTGCCGAAGAATTTCTATCCATGAGCACTCAAGAATTTTCGGGCAGCGCTGGTAGATCAATCGACAACGTAACTTGAGATGTGTGGCCCCTGCTGCCATCCTGGCAATTCAGGCGCATCATGCAGAAAGCATCCGGCAAATGCAGCGCATGCGCCCGAAGAAGGCCCCGTTCCGCAAACTAACGTCACATGATGTTTCACAAGGCCATTTATTCCCATATGAAGTCAAGGGACAAGAAGCCATGGTTTCGATTAGATCTGACAATCGCAGCACACTGTACCTGCTTGTGGTTGTTGTTCGACTTCAACGTCTTGGTGCGAGTGGCCAGGTGCTAGAAAGGATGGCGGCCGTCATCAAGTCGGAAGGCCAAGTGTTATGCAACCTTGAGAACACGCATATTTCCGTTCTTTGCATTATGGTGTGGCCAACTGTTTCTTTCAGGAATATTCAAGGCCTTCTTAGATTCCTCAAAAGGTTCCTATACAGCTTTTTGAGTGTTCTGTAAGGGTTCGGCAACCATGAGCTGCCAGGCAACTTTGCCAGCAAAGTCAACGCAGACTGGCTAGACCGCACGGCGCTCGTGTCGAATCATCCATTCCAGGACTGCCTTGTTGAGAGGAAACCTTACAGTATAGTTCTCATGGCATAGGCGCACAGCACATGCATCCATGTGGGAGGAGCAGTATGACTCACTGCTTGGAGACATGCCTCGAAGCCCAGATGCGAGACCAGCCCTGAGACGAGTTGCGGACAGTGAGGAACTTCTGAGCATCGAGCTGAGAGACGTTGTCTAAACATCCGTCGGTTTAGGTCTGGCCACGGTTGGAACAGCATCGCCGCTTACACCGCAACCGCTCATGGCCGGTGCCAAAGGGGTCTGCTGCTAAGGTGGAATGGAAAGAGTGGGAAACTACTGTAGACCTGAACACCAGACGAGTGCAAACTTTGTGACAATTTGCACATGTCTATGAGGTCTGGAGAAGTCGGGGTGTCATTCGCTTTACATTGTCGAGGATTCTGCGCGACGGTGTAGTGGTGGTGGTCAGCTATCCGGGCTGAGCTCCGCACTGAGAGCTGCTAAGACTGTTCGTACTCTGGCTGTTGATATCTTTTGGAGTGTCTTGAAGTTTTCGCGGTTCTGTCAGGTGAGAAGAAGGCGAAGCTTGGACTGCATTGCGCAGGCACCGGTCGGCTGATAATAGTTGTGCCATGCAGCATTTGTGGCAGTCATAGCATGAGGCTTGAGCGCACAGGGAGCTTAACTTGTACATCTCAATATCAGGATCGAGAAAGCTGTTAAAGTGTCTTCACTGGGCATGTAAGGAGACACTTCTTTTTCGCAGACTTGACAAGTGGCGTACGACGCGGTTGGCTCAGAGTTGCAGAGCTGTGCAGGAATCAAAGGTTAATTTTTTGGCACGGCAAAAGCCTCCAAGGCTCTACATTGCCAGCGACGTCATGTGCATGATGAGGCCATAGCTTTGCATTCTCATTCGGACGTTCATCTTCTGCCCACTAGTTGGAACCTCGACCTCTGCCAGAGAACATTGGTAACCAGCCGTAAAGCTCGTCGGTTGGGAAATCGGGGCGCCATCCCACCGAAGACAAGTTGCACGAAGCCCGCATCTGAAATTTAAGCCTGTGCATGCCTGTATAAGCTGTTCCTGGCATTGAAAAAGAACATTTCGGAAGATCTCAGCGGCGAAGAGCCATAAACATGAGAAGAAGTACACAACCCCTCGAAACACAGATCCCATTTGAGTCCGTGAGCTCGAGCCAGATTTATTTGCCGAACTGACGGTGTTGAAGTTGTGGTTGTGGTTCCTTCTCTCTCTTCAGAAGATGAGCTTCAGAAAGCCGCCAGGAATCATGTAGACCCAGAGCAGCCGCACAGCCAACAATTTCCACGTGTGGATCCTGAGAACTAGCGGAAGTGCTGCATGCCTAGGGCATGTGCAGCAGGAGAGCAGTCAGAGCCGCAACGGCCCCTCCAAAGGCCCCCCAACTTCAAGGACAAAGCACCTCTACCGTGTCTTTACGGACGGCACTAGTGCTGGCTGAACTTGGCATGTCGAAACATTTCGAGCAGGTGATTGGGTGCTGGCTCAATTGTCGCGGTTGCTCCTTTGCATTATAATTGGCCTAACTGCATCTGGAAGGCGTTCGACAAGGCGCTCTCTGGAGGCTCACGTTGCTTGGTGTTGCCAGCATTCCTCCGCAGGAGGCTCCAAACATGGCGATAATCTCCTTTCACACGATGCCATCAGGCAATGTCCACATCTTTGCCACGCGGAGATGTGGCAAGAGCCGACTGCAAGGAATGGGAAAAAATCCGGTTTCCTGCAATGTTGTGACAGAAACAATTCGATCTCAAGTCCAGTTTGTCTCCTTGCCCGTTTGCTTTTTCAGGTACTGGAAGTACACTATGTGGTGCCAAAACGAATCTCAGGCCCGACTTTCTCGTGGCACGAGCAGCCCACCGAAATGGATCAGATGTGATGTTTTGCGTTCCTTGACTTGTAGGCAACACAGTGGCAAATTACTTCGAATGAGCAGGCGAAGGCACATTCGTTGAAGTATGTCGAGCATCTGCCTCCATCTCTTGCCTATGAAGTTGCTCTCGGGAGCCACATTGGCGTGCATGTGCACCTGTATGATTAACTACATGCACTGTTGAGGAAATGTTGACAGCCGACATCGCCAAAGCAACCGCTTCCATCTCTTCGGCGGCTCTGCACCTTGCGGACTCGTGGGGTGTTGTTGTGGTAGTGATCCCAATGCATGTTTGTAAAATCATGCGAACTGTGAGTTGGATACTTTACTCAGAAAACAGAGTGAGCGCATTTTTTGCGAAGAGGGAGACGAGTTCTGCTGTCAAAGGACATCGCGCAGTACGAGTCGACCGATGAAGCTGACTTGAAGGCTCAATTGCTAACTTCAATCAACCTTGGATCAACGTGTAGCTCTTGCACATGGCCTGTGTCAAGTGACACAAGTCGTGACAAACCATCTTCATCAGTTGTTTCCCCTGTTGCTGATGACATCTGCACTCTGAGCAGCCAGAATTGCGATGTGGCTCACGGTCGATCCACGTACTCGGAGCAGGAGTTGGTTGTGGTGTCGGAGCAGAACATTTGTATGAGTGATGAAGCAGGAATGCCCAAGAGTCTTTGCTCCTACCTTCAGTTCCCCAACATGATGCCTTCACCGTCATGGGCCTGGAGCCGCTCTCCAAGCTTGTGGCAGACTCCGAATCCGAGTCGAGGTGGGGTTCCGTGAGACGAGGGGTGCTTCTGATCGTCCGGCGTCCACGCAGCTCCTGTTCCTCTTGAGTGAGGCAGGGGCTTGGCTGCTGTGGCTGTGCTGCCACCCCGCCTCGGCTCTACTTCGGCGATGCTCGTGCTCTGTGGCAAGGCCAGCTGAGGTTGGGGGGCTAACAGTCTATCCGGAGATGTCGCGAAGCTTCATGCATCGCCACAACCGCTTGAGGCCATTTTCCTCACTTCCAGGGCAGTATGATAAAGAGTCGAAAATGTCCTTCAACGACCTTCTCACGCTCTTTGCTTCGTTTGCTTTCAGCTTGAAGATGCGCCTGCCACGTGTGTGTGTTTGTGTTTGTGTGTGTGAACCGTCCTAGGTCATGGGCTAAGGGAGGTCAGTGACCCAGCGCAATGAAGCTATACATTGGACTGGGAAGATGTTCAGGACGCCGGACTGCGTCAGGGGTAGTATACATCTTGGATGCCCGACAAGATGATCATGTTACAGAGGCCGGCAGTGTATAATTGGTCAAAACTCATACAATCGTATTCATCCCGGCTTTCCGTCACGGCGCCCTGTCGGCCTTCGGTTGGGGCGGTCGGTGAGTATGCGGATCAGCTGTTCAGCAAGGCTCGTTGGCACTAGCAGGTGGCGTGCAGTGCAGCAACAGCAACAGCATGGGCATCAACAATCTGTGCCCTTCAGCTGCCGAGCTTCAACCACCACGACATCACACACAACTCCACAATCTTGCATAGCACATGTTTGCAGGCACAGGCCACAGGTCATGTACCGTGCGCCTGCTGCCAGCGTTTTTGCACGTCACCCTCAACTGGGGTGTCGCGCGTACGTATCACCCTCGGTCGTGGACACAGGGGGTCACACCCGGCTTGCAAGCAAACCAATTAAGCATGTGGCACAGGGTCCATTTCACGGCTTCTGCCAGCAATGCTTCGTTGAATAGGGGCACGTTGTGTACTTGCAGCGATGCACATGGATGGCTGAGTCCATAGATGGTGGTCCCAACAATCTTCCCAGCATGCGTAGCTAGCAGGCAGTCCTCAGTCGATCAACTTACGAGTGTGCGTGCTTGTGCACAGTGCTTCCCATAGCATTGCGGGCCTTGGCAGTCTTGGACCAATCGGCGCAGACGTGGGGCGGCACCTCGTCGGTTCTACAGTGCTCGCGCTTCTCCACACGTGAGGAAAGTTTTTTTTCCCAGCTCTGCCGAGATTCTGGGAGCCGGCTGGCATCCGGGAGATGCCGCTCGGACAGAGAGCTGCTAGCTGCTAGCTGCTGGGACAACCCTCCTCTGTGTTCGAGGTTCGAGTTAGCATGTCAGCCTCGGACAGACCACCAGATATTCAGGTGAGCGAATCTGATTGAAGCAGCTGTTGAGGAGATATCCACAAGCATATATGACATACTTCCCAAGGCATTTGCCGAGGAGATTGCGCCAAAGCTGCCAGAAGATTCCGGTGCCTACAGTGACTTGGGTGCCTTGGCACTTACCACAAACAGAAAATAGAGCACGGTTCACCGCTCGGGGGCCTTGAGCAGCCATCGTGTTTTCATGCTTCGATGCACAACGGCTTCAACTGACAGGCACTCACCGGGAGATGATCGAAGACCGAGTCCGCACTGAGGCCTTTCGCGAGGCAATCTTCCGGACTTGCAAGGCCGGGCTTACCGGAGATCTCCAGAGGGCTCGATCAGCCGTTTGCAGGACAAGATCGTTCTGGAAGTCGGTTGCGGGACCGGCATCCTTTCTGTCTTTGCAGCTCAAGCAGGCAGGGTGAACAGAACTGCAAGATAGTGCAAGCAAAGCCGATCGAAGAACCGGAGATCCAAGTCGAAGTGAGGGGAGGGGAAACACAGGATTGAGACCGGACTAGCCTATGATGCACCGGATGCCATGTTAGGCGCAAGACGGGTGATTGCAGTGGAGGCCAATGCGGAGATGGCAGACCTGGCCCGCGAAGTAGTAGCTGCCAACAGCCTTGCCAGCAGCATTGTCATACTTGAAGGTGCAGTCGAGGCGCGCTTCAAGGGGGGGCATTGTCGTGTGACCTGTTCTGACTGTTAGTATCTGTTACTCACCCCTCCTGGCACCTTGAAGGAGGTAGCCAGCCTGGTGGATGAAGCGTTGCTTGGCAGAGCCTTTATGCCAACGATTTCCTTGGCTATTGACCTGCACCTTCACGAAAAGCTTTGTCGCGTGTGACCAGCTATGCACGTTCGTCGTATGATGATCACATACGACAGGCACGAATCACCAATCCAGTGCGACAGCAGCTGTAGCCGGAGTGGGCCAGCAACCACATACTCAGGTTAGCACATGACAAAGCGGATGTCGTCCTGTCTGAGTGGATGGGCGCCAGAGCAGCAAGGGGGCGGGTGTTTTCCATTGCAGTAGCAGCGCTTCGGCTCGGAAGCAGTTGTCGAGGATTAAGTCATGACTTCATGATGAAAGCCAGGCTTCATGCTCGTGTGCGAAGACATGTTCCCGAGTTCCTTGGCAGCCTCTTCTACATGAATTCAGCCTGTGTCCCGTGTCGAAGATGGTGCTGTGACGAAACCTCTCGTTTCTGAAATTTCTGGGAAAGTTATGAAGCTTCTTGGCAGGGAGTGCAACACATGTGGCGGCGTTTTCGAATGCAACAAGGTGTGGCATTTGCTCGGGACCGGTGGCTTGCGGAAGGCTGATGCTGCGTGCATGCTGGGTTCTGAAGTACTGCTTTGCGCTGCTGTGCCAGATTGTGAGAGTGTGCCCGACCGGTCTTACATTCCCTCAGGCGGTGCCATGCTTCCGGCACGTTGCAGTCTTCACGTTGCTCCTTTCAGCCACGTCAGCCTGGTCGAGCGGCAGACAGGAGCACTATGACACAGCCAGACCTGAAGGGTGCAAACTTATCTCACATAGGCTGTGATTCTTGCTTCCATGCTGCTCACCAATGGAACTCCTTTCGAAGGATTTTGGGGAACGTCACCCTTTGGAGTTGACTTGTCGCCACTCGCATTCCACGCACCCTGCTTGCACTATTACTTAGAAGAGTTGTTCTCAAGAAAGCGTAGGTTGTTGTTGTTGTTGTTTGGCACAGTCTTTGCAGAGGCTCTGGACCAGCACGTCTTGCAACCAGTCATCGACACTCTGCAAGCGGAAGCGGTTCCCTGCCATGTTTTAAGGCCTTCTTTTTCATTCTCGTATAAAGTTTCGGCACCCGTGCTGGCAGGGTTCGCTATGAAGCTGGTCCTAGATGCAAGGAACACAGCACTCTCGTCGTGGCTGGAGCTGTGTCCGAATCGACAGGTGCTGGGCGACTGCAGGAAGCTGCACGGGCCACAGACACCCCTGATGCCACGCGAGAGAGCGAGAGAGCCCTTCAGAAAGAAAGAGAGCGAGAGAGAGAGAGAGAGAGAGAGAGAGACAGAAAGGGGGATTTCCCCCTTGTCCCTAGCCCTGACGAAAGAAAGAGAGAGACAGAGCATAGCTATTTTGGCTCAAGCCGTGAGTGGTTCAAGGGGAGTTGGCCTCTCTGCCCTTTGTTTCCTTGCTCCACATCTCCGGAGGCCACTCCCTTTGCAACCGGGCGCTTTCCCTTTCACTCTGCCAGGAATCCCCCTTCTTCCGCCGCGATTGCTGAAGGGGCCCGACGCAAAGTCTGCTTTCTTCCTGCTCCCCGCTCTTGCCTCGGACCTAGTTGTGTATCGATCCTGCAGAGTGACCGCTGCCGGCAGAACCTTGGGGAGTTTGACATCAGCTACCCCATCAGCATCGGCGGCACTACTCAGCTCCTACAGGGACGTGTCGCTTCACCCGGGGGAGTACCTCGAACGAGGATTTTGTGTACGTCAGGATCGTGATAGCGGCAGGAAGGGCGAGATCTAATTCCTCAACCTACGCTGGGAAGCTGTGATGGCTTCGAAGAAGACAGGAAAGAGGGGGCAATCCCCTGATTTGTTCCATAAGTGTGTGAACGGGGGGAGTGGACATACGGGGCACCTCACCACTGCCGACAACTGTATCTTGTACGGCGTCGCCAACCCCAGCGGTGCAGTGTACCAGGAGGTGCTGTGTCAATATGAGATGGCTCGAGATGATTCTCCCCGTCCTTCCGAGAAGAGGCCGAAGAAGAAGAAGCAGAAGAACAGAAGGAAAAAACACGCGGAGCCTGCTGCAACAGCTGATAACACCGCTCGGGGGCCTACAATTTGCGAGGAACTTGCTCCCGATGATCCACTTATGGAACCCCTTTGCGACAACCTCAGGTGATACAGGGCCAGAAGAGAAAGGAGGTTGGGAAACTGCATAATGGAAACGGACGGTGAAAAGCTCAGCAATGTGACAGTCTTCTGGGTTTTCCCCTTAGGGGAGGCAGAAGTAAGCTGGGGCTTTTCCACTCTGTAATGAAACAAGAGAAAAAAGGCACTACACTGTGTTTCCCGCTACGTCTCCTCGTCAATCTTGGCTGGTCTTTTTGGTCCATGACCCTTGGTGCCTTTGGTCTTTGCGGTTGGATCTGTAGGTTGTTTTGGATGCCTTTCTGTCCGCACGCCATTTCTCCTCATCGGTGTCGTAGGTGTCAAGGCCGAAGGGGACGTTCCCCTGGTCGTCGCGTTCCTGGAGAAGTTGATGTGGCCTTGTACGCTGGCTTTCAGTGAGCTTTGGCGGCGGTCCAGTTGGAGAGGAAGGGGCAGGGGTGCTCATTTTTTCACCTTTGTTTTCGAAGTTGTTCTGGTCCTTTGGTGTGTTTGCGCTAGTCCGGTCGTCAAAGGGTTCTCCAACGTCATCCAAATCATCGAAGACACCAACCATGGGGTGGAGCCGACGGATCGTGTAGTCCTCCTCGGGCGAGTCGGGGTCAGGGTCCCCTTGTTGAGGTGGACAGCAGGAAAACTGCCAGGCCGCATCGTACAGGTAGTGGGGCACGGCGTCCTTGTAGTGGGGGATTTCTCATACACCGGGTTGTCTGTTTGGTGCACTGGGGGTGGCCCGGAGCATCACGGTCTTCTGCTCCTGGTTCTTCAAGTGCAAGGCAAGACGTGGATCTTGAGGGGGTGCTGGTCCAGGTACAGGTTGAGCAGCGGGTTCAGGTAGAGCTCGGGCGGCACGGGCCTGTGCCGGGGTGAGTCCCCGAATGACTCCGAATGGGGTGAGTCCCCGAATGACTCCGAATGACACCGATGGGCCGCGCGGTTGCGGGAGTCGAGCTCGGGGATGTTGAGGCATAGGTGGAGGCAGTCGTGGTTGGCAATGGAACTTTTCCTGCGTCTTGGGAGGGCGGTGCTGATGCTTTCCTTTGGCTTTCTTGCGGCGCTGGCTCGGGCTGGGCTGTTGTGCTCCCGGTTGCAAAGGGCCTAGAGTGTTAGTACACCTGGCAACAGTGACTACCTGGTTCTGCACGGAGGTGTTCAGGAAACGGAGATCGAGAATGAGGCCACGGCCCAGACGCCGGTTGAGTCGGTGTTAGAGGGCGTCTGGACGTGCGTCAGGACGACAACTGGACTTGTGGCCTCAGGGTCGTGCTGCGCTGTCGCTACATCGTCGTAGCGATACTGAGCACTGCAAGATCCTGTAAGTGATGTCGTCAACATCGAGAGCGAGAGTGAGTGAGAGTGAGCGAGAGTGAGCGAGAGGGAGAGAGCGAGGTGGTCTAGATTTTGCGGTCTAGCATCTGTTTGTGTGCACATGTTTCACAAGCCAGCATTGCGATGTCCAAAATGGAAATTTTCATTTTGGACCCCGCAAGCCAAACAGCTGGGGGATGTGCATGACTAATTCCTCTGCCAGTACATGTTGGGGACACTTGCCCATGAACCCCTCCATGCTGTGCACCACAAAGGCAAAGATCTCCGTCTTCTTTGTTGTTAGCCTTCTGTGTTTGCGTTGCTATGTTTCCCTTTTTCCCAGCTGAAAGTGCTTGTTGCTCAAACGGCGTGGACGCCTTCGTGTCGTGAGAATGCTTTCCCAACGCCTCTCCGCAACAGTCGGGGGCACTGACGCGCGCGGGCAAAAGGGGTCCCCCCCTGACGAAAGAAAGACAGAGCACGCGAGGGGGGGGGGTTGCAGTGCTCCTCTTTGGCTGTGTGGAAGGCGAGGCGAGAGAGAGAGATCCCCTTGCACACGCCCCAACAAACTTGGCGGGCCTTAGCGGCCGGGGGGCCTGACACGCTCCCCAAGCCCTGTCGAAGAAAAAAGAAGAGAGAGAGAGAGAGTCGACCCGCCGCTTCCCTTTGGGGGGCGCTCGAGGACGGCCCTCTGGGTTGCTGGTTGTTCCCAGCATCCCCATTGGGTGGACGTTCCATCGAGCGGGGGAAGGCTTGAGCCCCATACCCGCTGCCACCTGGCTTCAATGGCCCCTGCAGGATCTTAGGGGTGAGCAATAATCAAGCAGGGCAAGATCGCACAACTACATCCTTGGAGGGGAGGTTTACACTGCAAGACCTGCTACCCGAACTTCCCACCCGAGGGGGAGGAACACTTCTCCACCAACGACCTTCTCGAGTTCGCGGCCACGCTGACCAGTTCGAACCTCTACGCTGGACGGGGGACACCATGCGGTTAAAGTTCGTGACTTGGGCAGGAAGGGCGACATCGTGAAGGCCAAACTACGTAAGGGGGAATGGATAAGCAATGTAAGCTATGCAGGCTCGGGGAAGGAATCTGTACCACCGGGTTCAGCAGTCACATGTACGTTCAGATCCACACTGCCGCCTGCATGGGTCAACGGCAAAGGGGAATGGGCCTCTACGCAGTCGCCCTTTGCAGGGGGACCCGCAACCTGAGGTGCCACCTCCTGCAAGAGGGGACACAGCGGCTCCTAGACCATCTTCGTCGCGACCACTTGCGGAGATGACACAGTTTGAGACGCGTGGGGGAAGGATCCTACTTTTCGAGCCCGAAAGCCTCGACACTTGGATAGGCCGGGGGATTGGAACAGATCACGACATCTGCCGATGTCTTGACCTTTCAACGGGGAAGCCTCTGTCAAAAAAGGACGCCAAGTCTTTCGAGGCCTACCACACCAGACGCCTGCAGCGGAGCCGGCTGGGGGACAAAGCGGACCGCTACATCCACTTGGTAGACAAATACTTGCCGAAAGTCGCAGAGGAGGCTCGCATTTACATAGCCCGATTTCCTCACAAGGTGGGGGAACTGCTTGGCCAAGTTCGGAAAATCCGAAAGAAGATCCGAAAGAGCCGGAGGCAAAAGCAGCACAAGGCAGAGTCGCGCCTGGCCAGCTCGTCGACGACAACCACAACACCAAAGCAGCCTCGTTACCAGCCAATACCCAGGGGAGTCGCCGCTCGGGTTGTGCCGGGGGAAGACGAGCCAACGAACCTGCCAGTAGGAGAGCTTGGGACAAAAGCACGCAGAGACGTCTTGGGCCATGACAAAGGGGGGCAACTCGACGATGATACTCCTCCAGACGGGGGGGGAGGAAGCACTGACGAGGGGAATCTGCAACCACCTGACAGTGCTCACTCATGGCCATGGGGGGCCAGCAGGCCGCCCATCGGACCGAGGAGACAGTGCCGGAGTGCTGGCACAAAAGCCTCGCGAACCTGCGCGGGACCCGCTGCCGCGACACCAAAGTCAACCCAGAGGGCAAGAAGGCCCAGGGGGGAGAGCGCAGCTGACCCCCAATGCGGCATGGAGAAGTGTACAACTTGTCCAAGCACACATGGCAAAAAGTCGTGCGAGAAGAGAGCGAAGCTGATGGGGGAGCGAAAGGGGGAGAACCACATCTCCTCGATGCAGTTTTGTTTCGTACCCGGGGGAGCTCGATGCTTCGTGGCAACCGCGGCAGCTTTGCAAAACGACCGAGTCCTTTCTGAGGGGGAGCCTGAGCTTTAGTTGTGAACTTCTTTAGGCTTTTTAGCCACCCTCCGTTCAACTTGTACATGGGGACACAGTGCCCGTAATCCTCGCTTCTTTCCAACTCACCTTGTAGCTCAACCTGTTCCGGCCAAGTCAATTTGGGGGATCTTGTGAAGCTCAATTAAATCTCGTTCCGCTCAGTGATACTATCCCAGTCCTGCTCGTACGTAGCAGGGGGGGACTGAACGTTTTTGCCTCGCACCCGACTTTGAATCCCTCAGCTGATGATGTGGCCCCCGCCTTAGTATTTTTTATGCTTCTACTGCATTGCTGATGGATTTGTTTTCTCTGATCAGCTGGGGGATTTTTTCTGCTTCAACGGCCATACGCTGTAAAGCCGAGCCTGGGGGGGCGAACCCCCCACCAGGATATTACGTACCCTGCCGTGGACCGCAGGGGCGCGTGTTGCCTGGTAGAGAGAGAGAGAAAGAGAGAGAGAGAGAGAGAGAGAGAGAGAGAGAGAGAGACAGAAAAAGCGAGAGAGAGAGAGAGAGAGAAAGCGTACAGCTACCCATGTTCACCATCGCATACTTTATGACCTTAATCGTTGGGTAGCGTATATTCGTTCTTCACTCCCCCTTCCTGAACAAAACGTTCGGGTGGGCAGCTATGCCCGGGGGCCGTGACAGGCCCCTATGTCCGGGAGAGAGGGAGAGAAAGAGAAAGAGGCATGAGGGGCAACGTGCCACTAACCCTGGCGAAAGAAAAGAAAGAGATAGAGAGAGAGAGAGAGAGAGAGCGACAGACAGCCGATGTCTGAAAACGGAGCAGCCATGGGATTTGCTCGTTATCCTGTGGTTTAAAACTTCGGTCCACCCAGCTCAGCACGGCTTTCTCTCTCACATGACTCCTGCCCTACAGATGACTGTGACTGATCCCGTGTATGCAGAGTTTTGATGTCGTCATGCAGCTGCGCTGCGTGAGTGAAGCCAGTTTGGAAGCCTCCGTGGATCTGGACGTGCGGGGGGCAGTGACACTTTGTCTCCTGGTATGTTTGGAAAGTTGAATTCATGGAAAAAGTACCGCGTGCACCTTGTGAAGAAAGCCGGACGTTGGGGGAAGGTGACACTCGGGTCCCCTGTTTGGATGATGTATGTGCAGTCTTCTTGCTTTTCTGGAAGTTGCCTTCTCTTGGTGAGCTACTAGGGCTGTGGCATGTCCCTGCAGCTTACTCCCAGAAGGGGTGCACTTTTGCGAAGGAGGACGGGAGACCTCTCTTGTAGCTTTTCAGGAAAACCGACAGCCTAAGGGGCGGGTCTGCCGGGCAGGAAGGAAAAAGAAAAGTCACCTTTGAAACTGCAGGCTTTGTGTCAGCCTGTTGAGATGCAGTTTCAAGGCGACATACAGCGAAGCCGAGCAGAGAGTCCCAAGGCCCGCGTGTTCACATCTGGGGGGAGACTACATTTCGTGTCAAACTGTTGGGGCTACAACAAACACCCAGATGTCCTGACAAACGCGGCCGAACAAGCCCGGGCGCACCGCCAACCAGTCGGTGTGCTGTCGGGGCTTAGGCAAGCATGTAGCATCCCACAGGGTATGCAGCACCTAGACCGCGCCATAGTTTGGCCTCTGGGTTAGATGTGGTCGGTGCCGTGATCGTCAGTTGGGTTGCGACCGTTAAAATGCTGACAATCTCGGTAGATCGCCTCAGACCTTCGCGATTTATATACAACCGCCCATAGCCAACAGTTGTGACATTGCGTTTGTCGGTTTTTCTGGCATGCATATCACTTCGGTGGCTCCGAAGGGCCGGCTTCATCAGAATCATCACCGTCATCCTCACCACCGCAACCGTCACCACCGTTATCGTCAGCGTTGTCGTCATCAATTCTATCTTCATCTTTGGCTTTGTGATCATTCCGGTCTCCGTTCCGCCCAGTACCTAGGTTATAATGTTGACGATTTGTTCAAAATGATAAAACGATGGCCGATTAAGACTGGCCAAATGCTGGGCGCTGTCAAGCGCCATCACGGTGGACGGATGACGGAGGCTCCAGAAACCCCGAGGTGGGTTTGCCGGCTGAGGAGTTGAAACTCCTACGAAGAAGGCAGTCGCATCATGCCGGGAAAAGCATAGCTTCAGCTCAGGGTGCTGTTCAGTGGTGCGCAGCACGGATGGATTTCGAAACTTACACTGCCGCTGCTGCCACTGCTGGCACCGCTGCTGCTAATCCAGGCAATAGGCCACAACCACGCCAGGGTCATGGCGAATTGTGATTCACAGCATGCCTCATCTGAGCTTTGACTGATAAATTTTTTTTGCATCGGTGCCTCGGGGCGGGTTCAGGAATACTTCCCCTACAGCTGATTTCGGTGAGGTTAAGGATGGGGAATCTGCTGAAAACCTTGCCCTGATTCTAACACGGCCCAGGGTGAGCCTATGCCGCCAAAGCAACCGCACTGCCACTGTCGAACACATGGACATGTGGGAAACAGTTAGAAACCAAGCCGACCATTCTAAAAAAGCATTGGCCCGCCGAGGTTTACTTTGAACTGCAAGGAGGCCTTGGAATGTTCTGCAGTGTCCATATACTTTCCACGTTTCTGCAAGCTACCAAATAGTGAGATGCCGGTCGTTTAGGATCGGAGAAGACAGGAAATGTTAGACACCAGTGACAGCCAGTGACAGACTAGAAGCAAAGGACACACCAAACAGGGGGCAGGTTGGCCGTAGAGTCTCAGAGCAGCCGAGGGGCCGAGGGCGATTCAGTGAAAGCGAAGTTCCCCTGCAGCTGTTGGCTAGACGCTGGTAATCATTGTCCTCATCAGGCCTCTGCCGCGGATGGCAAAGCTGGGTGTGGCACCTTCACCACGGCGATCACTCGACCCGGACGCCTCCACGGCCTTGCTGTGGGAGCCTGAAGTCTCTCGACTTGTCAGCAATGAACCGTCCCGACCCTAGCGTCAGGTGTGGTTCAGCTGCGAGCTGTGCAGCGGTGTAGCCTTCTGCACAGCACCGGAGGCGAAGACGACATGGCATTTGCATCAAATGCAAAACGTTGTTTTGGCACGAGTTTCGGCAACATGTCAGTTGAGTCACGTTTTGCTGACTCTTTGGTTTTGTTCTCGGTGCTGTGTCTTTAGCTCCTGACCAAAAAGCATCCCAAATTGTTGTTTGACGTTTGTTCCTTTTCCGTTCTCTGTCCCTTCCATGTTTCGGTTCTTTGGCTGGTGTCTCCGTTGTATGGTTCGCGAAATAAGCGTGTCGAACAGTAGGCCCACAGAGCAGCCAGCAACCTGTCACGGCTGGGCCTTGCGTGGAAGTCCTTGAGATCCCTGGCTCTGCAGGGTCGGAGCCGCGAGTTCAGTTGTCGGCCGAGTCGGGCCTGGAAGCCCGTAACTGCATTGATGTCGTTTTGATTATTTCCTGGGACATCGTGCAAACATACATGCGCTGGCATCGAGAGTCTCAAGTCTATTTCTCGCCGTCGGTTCGGTTGGCCTTTGTTCGTTCGGGGCGATAGCACTTGCTGAGGGGCGGTGTCACGCACTGAGCTCCACCCCACCCACTGACTCACTCACTCTCACTCGCTCGTTCTCATGCATCCGCTCATTCACTCTCGCTCACTCTCACTCGCTTACTCACACACTCTCTTCTTGAGAGCGTCCCTAAGGCGTCACGAAAGACAGGAGTGAGCGAGATTACAAGAGCAGCAACACCATGCTATACTGCCTTCGCCAAGTTCAGGCTGCTGCCACTCATTGGGAGCAAACTTTGCTTTTCTTCGATCCTGCTAGCCTGTGGCTCGGAGACTAGGAAGTGTCGCTCAGTGCACAAACAAGGGAAGCTAAGTCTGATTTGACCCGGTCGGTGTTGATTTCCCGTGCCTCGTGTCCAGCGTCCAGGTGAGGTTATGGAGTTGGAAGTGTCCAAGGGAGACAAGATCGAAGGCCACCGTGTCTTTTGTAAGACCAACTGTCCTAGTGCAGGTCGCAACTTGTCCTCCTGCTTAGTTGGATTGCCTAAGGCGAGCTGCGCTGGCTCGTGGAGGGACGCGATCTAGGAGTCGTCATGACCGGCGAGGCCACTGTTTTTGGCAGTTGCTGGTGTTAGCCACTGTAGCAGCAGTGGAGACAGGTCTTTTGTTAGATTTCGTTTTGAAATCTCCAAGACTGCTCTGTTGAAGGTCTCAACGACCATGGACTCTGAGATCAGCAGGTTGAAATTTGGCAGACGCCTTGTGTTGAACGTCATGTGAGTCCCCACGCGACTCTGGCGGTGCTCAGACAAAGATCTGGCCTGACACGACAGCTGCCGAAAAAGCCTGCGTTGTGTCCGAGCTTCATAACAAGTAGGCTCGACTGGGACACGGTCTGCTTTGATCGGCATTTGTCTTTTGTTTCCAGATTGAGCACATGGTGACATAGTGTTGCCTCACGTTGTGTTGTATGAGCCCGCAGAAGCGCGAGGAAGAATACGAGTAGTCTCACAAGTCATCAATTCATTGCATTAGGCGCATTCATTGGAGTGATGCCAACATCGACAGTGCGTGGCAATGGTAGTTACTGTCCTTGAGATTGACCATCGTGTAGGAGCAAGACTTGGAGTTGTGGAGAGAAGCGAGACGGCTTCAGTGATCTTGCTAACAGACAACCAGCCTAAACAGAGGTGTAAGTTTTCATGGGTTGATGGGACTCAGTTATTCTTGTTACAGCCGTGTGGGGAAATATGGACCGCGTGAGTGGCATGGCACGAACGCAGTGAGAAGAATCAAAGCACATTGTCAGACATGGGTAGCAGTGGGCTGAGTTCAGCATGCGAGGCAGCAACCTTGCTCAGAGAGAAAGAAGCTTCGGATTTCAAGGCAAGTCCGAGATTGAACGGTGCTCTGAGGGTTTGGAGGGATAGATCAGCAAGAGCCAAAGTCTGTGTCTTTCTTACAGGCTCTGGAGTTGGAGCTGGTGGAAGGCATCCGCACCACCCAGGCAGCCCAAACCAAGCTGGAGCAGGCGGAAACACGTCAAATGGCCCGTTGCCTTCGTGCTACAAAATTACTTGTCACGATTGCATACGCTTGCGGAGGACATCCTTGCATCCGGCGGCAAAGTTGCCAAGAAGGGAGCCGGGAGCTTTGATGAGATGTCGTGTAGGTGCCCAAGTCTAAGACCCACTGCCGGGGAGTTGATGGATGGAGGCCTTCCTGCAGACGGAGAAGCGGCCCAGCAAGGCTGTGGGGCTAGCAGTGCGCGGGGCAGACTTCGGTATGTTTCGGTATTAATGTGGAGCTGCGAGACAAGGGCGTTATGATTCTGCATGTGCGTTCGATGTCAGACGTACACAAGCAAGGGCTGCGACTCGCACAAAAGGCTATGGAAGCTTTCAGCGACGTCATGGTAGCTTCTCGGCCGCAGAATGCAGAAACTGTCTGAAAGCAGGCTCTGCGTTATGCCGGGTTTGCAAAGCTGAGTCACAGTGTTGATCACCTTCTTCGTGCCTGGACTTCTGTAGCTTTGTCAGACAGCTGGTATGCTCCGCCTTGCTGCGCTTTGAATGTCTACTGAGTCTACTGTGCTTGAGACGTCTAAGTTGGCCAAACTGAAGCCAGCCACAAGTGCGGCGAAGCCAGCGGTGGCACGACGTGACTGACCGATCAGGAGCTGACCAATGCAGCCGCTTTGTCTGCCGTCGAGGACATGAAGCAGTGCGCATCCTGCATTCTTTCGAGGTTCGGGCAGGGCGGACAGGCTTTTCGGATTCTTTCGATTCAGGTACCCGTCCTTGCTCGAGCAAGCGGAGGCTGAACAAAGCGCCTTGGCCCAGCGACGGGCCCGGTGCTCAGCTGCAGCTGCCGCCGTGACCGGCACCTGCGTTTCGGTTCTCGGCGCATGTCAGTGCCGTAGATGCTCGTCGCAGTGCATAGGTTAACTCCCAGCTCGGCATCAGCACAGAGCCAAAGAAGGACGGCGTTTACAAGCTGCACGATCCTGTTGGATCCTAACTGATTTTGCTACGAGTTTTATGTCATCAAGACAAGGCAGTGCAATCGGGCGGTGTCGACAGCACATGCCGGCGTTTCTTTGTGCGGGCGTTTCGGCTCGAAGTGACAACAGTGCTCAGACAACTAGACAAGCAATTGGATGAAGAAGACAGCCAGCTAGAGTGGTTTCCTGTTGTGCTGGCCTGACCATGCCTCGCCCATAGATTGCAGAGTCAACTGGCAATACCCCAGTACAGGCGCGAGCTTGCAGCAGAAGCCATGTGGAACTGTTGCATGGATGTTGGCACAGCGGACGAGCAACATGAGGCCCAGAGCAGTGTTGAGTGCAGAACGAGTCCCTTGGTAACACGCCTGACAGCCTGGGAGGTCGCGGCGAATAAACCCAGCAACCTGGCAGCCCACGACAGTCCACGGGGAGACGAGTCTACGAGCCTTTCTCCGAGGATCGTGCTGAGCTTTCAGAAAAGAAATCTCTGTCCACCACTCCGTAGATCTGTCATGAAATGTGGCTGTGTAGCATTGCCTATGCCTGATGTCCATACCCTTCGCGCTGCCCAGAGCAGGTAGATTTTGCCTGCGAAAGTCCAGCCAGGCTGGCGGCGACCAAGAAGCGGCCGTCCATAAAGTCTACTACTACTGGGCAGGCTGCACTCTGAATCGTCAGGGTGCCTGGGGTTTGTTGCTGTTACTTAGAGATGATGGAAAAACGGAGAAGATGTGAAGACCGTGCATGCTTGGCTGTCTGCAATTCCGTTCGTTTTCTGCAATGAACCTTTGAACAGGGCAAAAGGGAAGTTCATGAAGTCCATGCTCCTTGGCCCTTGTTGATGTAAAAGCAGCTGCTGCAATCGCCATGTTTCCACATGCATGATTAGTAGGAGGTAGTTCCAAGCCACCTGGCCGGATACCCGATGCACAGTTGTATTCTTCCATGGCGGTCACGACTCTGTTTCAAGCTCCGGTTCCTCAGGAAAACACCGCTGAACATCTTGAGTGGTCAGGATCCTAGAGTCCTACAGCACATGGGGCACATCATCCTTGCAGTCAGATAGGATGAGCAGGGCTTGCTTGCACCCGAGGCTCAATATGTCATTGAAGCACCTATGGCCAGAGCTGAGCGAGGCTGGGGTTCTGTTAAAAGGTATTCCAAGCCTCTTCCGCCCCATAACTTACTGGCCGACATTGACCTCACCATGGGCAGCCGTTTATGACAGGCGTGCTGGGCACAATGTGCGGACTCGGTTTTCGAGGGCGCTCTATGCGTTGTGGATACACACTTGAGAAAAGCGGTAAGCTAAACGCATCCATATGCAAGTTTTGAGCACTAACACGTCGTTAGCCAGACGTTTGTTTACGTAGTCCTGCCTGCAAAGTTGGAAGTCCGATGGTGTGGAAGATTCCTGTCGATCTGCATAATATTGATTTGGTTGAAGGCGGCAGCGACGGTGGCATATAGTCACTTGGTTGCACGTTATGCTTTCTTTGGGTGAAGCACAGACTTGGAGCACGTGTCACGGAAATAACGACATGTGTCATGATTTGCGTTTTCGTCCGTGTCAGCATGTCCTGCTTGCGGACTTGTCCTTGCTGCCTTGCTGCCTTGCTGCCTTTCTGGTCCACGTGAGGCAAAGTCCTCCCGATCCTGCGGCAGAAGCTCCTGACGAAGGCTATCGGTGAGATGCGATTGATTCGAAAGCATAAGGAGCCTCACGGCGCATAACGAAGCGGGGCCTAGTCGATTGAGAACGAAGTTCATCAACCCCACTGGCGGACCTTTCAAGGGAATCGTGTTATGAGCAACGGTTTTACATATAGCCCAGCATGGACATCTCTGTCTGGGTTTCTCAATCTGCGAAGGGCAAGGGAAAAATCACCGGTGACACTTTTACATATAGCCCAGCATGGACATCTCTGTCTGGGTTTCTCAATCTGCGCAGGGCAAGGGAAAAATCACCGGTGACACTTGGATTGCACCCAGCTTGCTGTTCTTGCAAGATAATCCGGGGCACAACAGCGATCCTAATGTGATTCCGTTGTTGCTGATGAAGGATGCGTGACTAGTGTGACAGGACCGCGATATACCGCGATGATAGTATAGCGTACATGCTGCACCAGCTGCGTGTATGGCACAACAGAGCCTCAGCCCCTGCATCAGCTCGGAAGAGACGAAAGGTGGATTTCTCCAGCTTCTCACTCGGCTCGGTGCCAGTGGTCTTGGGACCAGTGCAGGTCGCAAAGTGCTGGGCACTTTCTGCTCGAAGGTTGAGCTTAACCATAATTCGCTTTTTCCTCCGGCTTCTTTCATGGCAGGTCGTAAACCTGTTCAAACAGCGGGGTTTTGCTCGGGTGGGAACGTGCAAAGTCGTGATCATGTGTAGTCAGCCTGAGAGTCTTCGACCCCTGAACCCAGACGCTTTAAAAGTGGTGCCACGCGAGTTGAGACTGTCCTTACTTACAAACTCTTGTAATCGAGTGCTTGCAACTTTCTTGTGGCAGCCATGGCAGCAGACAAGTTTGAACAGTGCAGTTTGCAGTCTTCAGCAATTCCGCAGACATTCTTCGGTGCATGCATTTAAGCTAGTTCTTGAGCCTCGTATGTAGTTGGCAAGACTGCGATGTCGTTGAGGAGCGTAAGCTCAATTTGCATGCCAGGTCTCGAGAATGCCGAAAGGTTCGGTCCGCATTCGAATGAAACTAGAAACGCGGAGAGATTCATGGTTGTTAGGCATCTTCGACCTTTTTCTGCGTAGATTGCATCCATGTTCAAGCACGTCTGCTCCTGTCCGGTTCCTCGAGAACCTGCTCTTCCGCTTTGTGAGCAACTCACTGTCTTCTGGTTCGCTGATGTGTGCGGTGGCAACAAGGACTACAGCTCCGACATGGAGGTCGGAGTTAGTCTGGTCACTCTGCTGCATCCAACACTCGACAGCTTATCATATTTGACGGATTTGGCTTTGTTTGTTCAACTGCGTTTCCATGGCGGCTTCATCCACCGCCATAATATACAATGCGACATGTCAGAGTGCTCTGACACAGATGAAGAAAGGCCGCTCTGTTGCTGGCATTAGCTGCCGTTGGCTCCCGCAGGCCAATCAGATTTTCTGACCTCGACTGTTTGGTACAAGTAAGTAGTTGCCACCGGCACTGTCCCATCTTGTCTACGATGCGAGTGCACGCTCTGGCACCCGAGGACAGCACACTTGGCGACTTGGCTTTGTATCTTCAGCCCTGCTTCGCACAGACTGATGCAGTCGAAGATA